AGAAGGTGCTATTTAAGAGACTGAGATGAAAACAGCACCTCAGACTGAGGAAGTCTCTTGGATGAGAGACGAAACGTTTCTAGATTTTTTTTGCTTTGTTTTGCTTTTGTTTTTTTGAATGTCCAGAGGACCAGATTGAACTTTTTTGGATAAGCAAATCCTGTTTTACCTGATTCTAAATCTTTTGAACCATCTGTATATACATTAAGAAAGGATCTATATGCATTCTTAATTTTATCTTGTATAAACCTACACACTTTTTATCTTTATTATTCTGTACTTTTTTATAGACCTCTAGATCTACAGTCACATTTGGAAACAACCAAAAAGGCGTAACTGAATATGGCACAGCAGCACAATATCTTTTCTCTTGTATTCCTGTTTCTCCAGCACATTTATTTGCTGCCCAAGCAAAACAGTCCACTTTAGCCTTTCCACTTTCCCAGCATGGCTTGAAAATTCTTACTGCTGGATGGTGCTCTTCCTCATGTCCCTGTAAGCTTACCCAATAATTCATCATATTTTGTTTGTATCTTAATTGTAACGGGAGCTCCCCCATTTCCACCTGCACTGCCAATGATGAAGAGGTCTTCATGGCTCCACAGCTCAACCTCAGAGCTTGGTTCTGAACTACCTCTAATTTATGAATGGTTGTTTTCGCTGCCTGCTTATACACTATGCTTCCATAATCCATTACTGATCTTATCAGAGCAACATAATACTTTTTTAGATTGATTTTATCTGCCCCCAATCTATTTCTGTTAAACACCTCATCAAATTCACAACTTTTTTACATTTTCCCTCAATATATTTTACATGATCATCCCATAGAAGTTTTGATTCAAACATGATTCCCAGGAACTGAAATTTCCTTACTTTTTCTATTTTTCCCCCATACATTTTTAACTCTATGTCCTCATTCTTCTTTCTACTAAATACAACTGTCTTTGTTTTATCTACTGAGAATTTAACTCCCCAATTATACGCCCAACTTTCAACAGATTTAATGGCATTTTGTATTTTCTCATACACTAATCTAACATTTCTTCCTTTTCTCCACAAGACTTCATCATCTGCAAGTAATGATTGCATGATATCCAACATTTTTCATTCAGGTCATCTGGACAGTTTCTTTTTTGTGCTAAAACGTTTCGCCTTCGATCCAGAAGGCTTCATCAGTCAAGGAAACACACAACAAAACTGTTTCTTCCCCCAACAGCTTACTCCAAAGTGGAACAAACCAGTTCTGCTTGTGATAAGATGGTCTCTTTGGTACGCCCCTCCTCCATTGCCAGCCCTCTTTCTTGTTGACAGTCTTGTCAAACTGGTTGAAAACAACAAGGTCCATGCTCAATAATCCAGGTATACAATCCAACATTTTTCAGTCAGGTCATCTGGACCTGACTGAAAAATGTTGGATTGTATACCTGGATTATTGAGCATTGGCTTTATTGCATGATATCCTTATCTTTTCCAGAGAAAACGTCATTAACCATGATTTAAAATAGTAAAGGACTTATGATACTGCCCTGTGGAGTTCCATTATCAACTTTATATTTATTTGATCTTGCTACTCCTATATGTACTTGTATGACTCTATCAAAATAAAAAAGGTTTAATCCAACTATAGGCCCTTCCTGTTATTCCCATTTTATATAATTTGATAAGCAACCCATCCTTCCATACCATGTCATATGCTTTCTCAATATCAAAAAATACTGCAACCACTACTTCCCTATTAACCTGAGCTTTCCTATTATCTGATTCCAAACATACAACTGGACCCATTGTACCTCTTCCCTTTCTAAACCCACTTTGGCATGATGATAATAGTCCTCTACTTTCTACATAGTATGTAATCCTTTCGGTTATCATTCTTTCCATAATCTTACCTATACATGAAGTAAGTGCAATGGGGTTTGTTGGATCCTGTCCTGGTTTGATCATTGGTATAATAATTGCCTCCTTCCAATTACTAAGTAACTTTCCTTCTTCCCAGATCTTATTAAACAGGCCTAACAATTTTTCTTCTGCTTGATTTCCTAAGTGTTTTAACATTATATAACATATTTGATCTTTTCCTGGTGCTGTTAATCCTGATTTAAGTATTGCCCTCTTCATTTCTTGCATGGAAAATGGGGCATCCATGATATTACCTGGGGTTGTTCTACCATTTAACATTATATAATTTGCCCTTCTTGTCTGTTCCCTCCTGCATTTCCCCTGCTCTGATAAATTATCTGAACTATGCAAAGTTTGTTTTCTCAGTCATCCAGGTATATAACAACAAAAAAGGTTGAATCATGTCATCTGGACTTCGTTTTTTTGTTAAAAAGATACGTTTCGCCCCTCATCCAAGAGGCTTCGTCAGTCTGAGGCCTAGCCATCTGGTATTACCCAGAAGCCACCCTGACTCTTGTGTTTCAAGCCTGCCTCAGATACCCCTGAAGTCTGGCCTTTTCACTAATGGTTTCAAAAACACTATCTGAACTATGGATCTTTGAAAATGTTTTTGCCATTATTTCTACTTTCTCTTCAGTTTTTATAACCGTTCCTTTTTCACGTTTTAAAATTGGGTATGTCCTCTCTCGTCTATTCCCTCTCATTTTCTTGATCATTCTCCATACTTTAGCTATAGGAGTTGTTCTGCCTATTATGTCACAGTAATCCCTCTATTTTGCTTTCTTTGCCTTTTTAATAACGTTCCTTGCTTCTGCTTGAGCTTTTTTATATTCAATTAAACTTTCAATATTACGTGTTCTCCTCAGTATTCTAAAGGCTCGATTTCTTTTCCTTATTGCTTCACTACACTCTTGTGTCCACCATGGTACCGCTTT